GTTAGTTTCAGTTTTGTTGACAAATTAAAGTCGTGTTGACATGTTGGACCAGGTTTGTGAAGCTTTTGGTGTATTTAAATGTACTGTACTGCTGAAGTATTATCAAATAAATTTGTGATTCAGTACATTTATGTCTGTGTTTGGAAATAAAAAGAAACTCTTCAAGTCAACTCAGGACTGATTTTATGTATCAGATTGGTATTTGCTGATACTAAGCATTAAATATCGATACAGGCGACTGTAAATTTTAGTTTGACACAAGGCAAAAAATCAATACAGAAAGACAACCTATGGATTCATTTAAAAGAAAAAATATTTAGATTGCTTATGGTAGAGAAACTCCACAAGAAACGGGAGCAGGCTTAAATCTTTTGCTGAAATTTTCATTAGAATAAGAAAACACTATCTGTCAAGCTATGTTAAGACTCTAATACTGACTCTTGAAATGACTGAGGCCAAGTTTAAATGCTGTGAGCGTTTCACACGGGCAAAGCCAAACACAGTTAAGAAGACTGGAGCAGAACAAGATTACGTAAGACATCGCATCTGATCGCAGCAAAAATATAGGCCAAGCAACGAGTTGGTGCTGTTTGGACATGTTTGTATGGATATTTTAATGCAAAGACAAACACAGGAGTAGCCGATAATCAGTTCTTCATAACTACATATCCCTGACACTTAGAGCTTGTTCATAGTGATCCAGCCTCAGCAACACCTTAAGTATTCAAAGTTGCAATGAGATTCAGCCTTGAAACCTGTCAGTTTTCTGCTCTTTAATGTCTGGAGGCTTTACTGTGACAGAGACAAAGACTCAGTTTCACGTTCCTGCATGTTTCAATGTCCTCAGCAGAAAAAAGTGGGTGGCATGCCGTGATTTATGTTATGAACATGCAAACAATTTGTTTTTTCTGCTTTTCACCAGTTTTTTTTTTTTTTTGTTTGTTTTACTTGATTCTTTTTGTTTTAATGTTATCTTGGGATTCAGTTTGTTGGAAAATGACTGAAAATAAATAAATGTTTTACATTTGTGTGACCTCTGGCGAAAATGTGATTTTGCACAAGAAATGTTATCGATTGGAGATTTTGCAGCAAATTAGAACCTGTTGGCCTTGGTCTTGGCTGAAGTCAAGTAAGCTATTCTTGAGATGTTTTAGAAACATTTTTCACCCTGTAGTGATCGATTCCTTGCAGCTGCGCAGCGCTACTGCATACTGCGTGTTCATTCTTCAGAGAATCCTTTATATGGAGAACAGAAACCACTAAGCTAAAAACAAATTACTTACTGGATTCCATTAGTCGCTCCAATTTCCAAACTTTGCATTAATTTCGCGATCTCACCGCTTTTGCTGCTACTCCGTTCAGCTTCTCTTTCACGACTACTTGCGCAACTTTACTTAGTTTCTTATCAACAAATCACAGCCGCTCATTATTTATTGAAGATTTGAGATTTCCAAAAACAAAGGAATCTAATGTTGCGTGGCGTTTCTTGCGTTTGGAAGCTCATTCCTTTTCACATAACCGGAAAAACTTTTTTTAACATTTCTCTGACATTCGGAAAAATCTTGTTTGCTTAGTAGAGCATAACTCCAGTTTTACTTGGCCTATTAACACAATTTAAAAACTGGTGTGTAGTTTAAAATGTGCACTTTCAGCACAAGTTGAACGTGAGTCTCGCTGCTTCGCCATCGCAAACCAGACATGTTAAAAAAACGCCATAAGCCTATGGACCTCTATAGTTTAACGTATCAATACTCACGGATGAAAAATCGATACCTTCCGAGGGTGGGAAAAATCTCTAAATATTGTAGAATCAATATAATTATACAGCCCAGCTTTAAACATGTTTTTAACTCAGAAACATGGCAGGTAGCTGCCCTATAGTCTCTACCACTGAGCCAAGCAAGTTTTTAAACTTCCTAGACGACTTCTGGGCACAGCTTTAGGTTGTACCCGTTTAAAAATGGGTAAGAAACTGCTCTACCTGTTCCCCTCGTTGACAACTGTAGTGTGTGGCAATGCCAGGTGACAGCCACTGTAGAGAGATGTTCCTGAATGCATTGGTCTAGTTGCATGATTTATTGTTTATTTTTCTCCCTCTGGGGTAAAAAGGGACAATTCACTTCTGCAAACAGAGCTTTTTAACAGGCATTCCTCTGTTGTTGTTTTTTCTTTTATGATTTATGTAAGAATTAATTGTTCTTTCAAGAAAAACATCAATTTGAACCCTTTGGCCACAAACCATTTGAAGGACTTGGTGAGAATGGGTCAAGTAATCAGCAGTAATGCCTCGCACAGTTGGTTCTGCAAACAGTGCTAAATTAAATAAATCCATAAACAGCCAACTACACTCTGTAAAAGCTGCTCAGCAGAGCTGCTCCAAATGTAAAAGCAGCAGCAAAAAATATGGAAATGCTCCAAAAAAAGCGCTTACAGCTATATCTGAGTCAGTAATTCAAACTTAACTCGTTAAATCGTTAAAACTTAACGAACCATTGATTCATTAATTGTCTAATTCTAGAAAACAGACAAAGTTTTCCCTAGCTGTTAAATAAAAATCGTTAATTCTGGTATTTCTGTAGAATTGCCGTAACAGATGCGTAATCCTGGTAAGATAACAGCTGAACGCGCCGTTTGGCTGCAACGTCGCCTCAGCCAGTCTGGAATCGCTTTTCTTCCACTTTCTCTTGACTGACAGCGAAACTCACACCCACAGCTGCACAAACGAGATGGTTATGAAACGTGGCTGTGAACAGGTGTGTATTTTAGGGAGAACAGTTGTTTGTAGCAGCTTTGCTTGCCCACGTACATGCACACACGCTGCAGTCACGGTGTCTCTTGTGAAGCGCAGAGGGAGAACGGCAGCCAACCAAAGCTACTGACTTGGCGTCTTGAGATGGAATTTACTCAGTTATCCGCAAATGAAAGAAAAAAAAACAAAAAAAAAACAAAATGCCAAATAAAAAGCAGTTCAGCATCCAAAGTAAGCTGGGCTGCTGACAAAATGAGAAAATAATGACTCACCGGTTAGGATTCATAAAGGAATTAATTAAAAGTCAGTAGAAATTGCCTTGCATGCACCGTTGAAACCAGAAGATAAAAGGAAACAATAAAAAAAAACTGTAGTTTTTCATTGCTTTTCAAGATCTGAAAGCCATGTCAATGCAATGTTTGCAAGGACAGAGAGCAAACAAATGACTGAATTTATTGCACCAATGAGAATCTAATGGAATTGCATGTTATTTTTGGTGAGACTTTAAGCTGCTAATGTTTGAAAATAGTATGAAATTGTACAATTCTGGCAAAGCTTGAGGCTTGCCACTCTGTAGATATTTTTCTAGATCCGCCGCTGCTGACAAGTATTTCGATGTGTTTATGTTGACTATTGGAAGAACATTGTTCCAACTTTGTGGTAGAGAAAAGTCAAATTTCTTCTCTATTAGAAGTAATACACAGCACAGGGAAATGCACAGCATTTCCCTTACAAATTTGTTCAAAACCTTGTCAAATTTGAGCTCATATCGAATAAACACAATTTTGCAAGCGTGATGTTTCCATCAAGTTAAAAACGCAATTAAAATCCCAGGTGAATAACTCATTAAAGCATATAAGAGCCATCGTCCTCCTACTTCCTGTCGTCTTTTTCTTTGTCTTTTCCTGCAGTAGTTTCATCCAGTTGTTGAACAGGTGACTCTTGTGATGCGAAAAAAGTGTTTTCATTGCAGAATTACGAAATACCTTCATTTCAATGCTGCCGAAAATCCACCTGGTCCTCAGGCTCAATCTGTTTTTTTTTTTAAATTGAAAAAAGTGAGTTTTTTTTTTTTTTAATCTATTAATATTTCCACCAAGCGAATTGATTTCTTGGAATTCCAATTTGCTCAATCATATGCTCAATCACACAGCTAGTGAATCATGGTGACCTCTTTCAGCAAAATAAAGCATTCTGACACAAAACAAAAAGGTTTCCAAAAAAGATTTGAGTAGCACAACAGCGAGTTTGGAGTGTTGGCTGGGCCTCAAGCTTCTCCAAACCGAGCATCTGCAGGGATCTTTCTGGATAAACAAATCTGGTACCACATCAAAGATCCTCACAGGACTTAAAGGATCTGCTGCTAACATCTTGCCGCCAGAAACCAGCCAGCACACATTCAAGGACTATTTGGGGTGGGAGTCATAATGTTATGCCAACGCAATGACAACGTGCAAAGACTGAATCAATGCGTCAGATTAGCAGAGTCTATCAGCAGAAATAACGAATAAACTAGTGTATCCGTAAAACTACTAAAGACCTGGTAAGGACTGGTGGAAATACTTAAAACAGAGGCTGTGGGGAATGGTGTACTTTGAGGGAGCTCCTTCCAATCGATAATAAAATACAGTAAATAAAGTGTGACACCAGACTTCACACATTTTGTGTCAACAGTTCCCTGCCTATCTGCAGCTGTCAGACATAATCTAAACAGAGGGTTTAAGTCATTTCACGTCTGAAAGCAAAGGGTCGCTTTACTCGGTGTGTGTGCGCAAAGAGCATGCGCCAGCTTCGTAAGACTAAATGAGAACTTTAACACTTCTATCTGTCACTGAAGTTTCCCCTCAAACAGACGTACTATGGAATGCCCACTGTAAAACTCATATTTATTTGTTAAGCTGAAAAATATGTTGGCACTGGTCGAGCTGGAGAATACTGTTTAATTTAGAATACTGCTTTATATATATATATATATATATATATATATATATATATATATATATATATATATACATATATATATATATATATATATATATATATATATATATATATATATATATATATATATATATGTCACCTTTCCACAGAGAGCTGACAGCAACATAATGGACTGTGTTGGTTATTCCATCACTCCTTTTCCCTTACCGCCCACTCCCCGCCACACAACTGTTCCGTGGGTTTCTTTTTTTTAAAAATAAATAAATTAGCACCCTTGGTTTCTTTAAAGAAAAACAAAACGCTCCCGTACCTGGACATAATTGCTTTCGCAGTATTCCGCTACTCTTTCCAGATTCGTAAAACTGTCCAGTAACGCTCTCCGTCCCGCAGGAATTTCTTCCTCCAGCAGCATCTGTAGCTCCGCCATCTTTACATAGTCCTTACTACTAACGGCTGTTGCTCGCGCTGACTGGATGCATCCTGCTGCCTTCCAGGGCTGTGGGAAATTTCACAACTGCGCTGAGATACCTTGGAAATGCTGGGGGAATGTATTTTAAGGGCCATTTTTGGCTCGTGAAGTGGCTTCTCTCGACTCCTTTCCATGAGTCAAGAATGGTAAAATAAATGAATAAAAATGAAAAACTGTAAGTTTTATGTTTTTCTTTTAGTCAGGCGGCAACAGTACAAATCCTTTTTTAATGTTTTGGATATTTAATAACAAAACGTAGCATATTTATGGTTGTTGTTTTTTTAAATTATGATTTAGACTGAATTTACGGCTGTAATAACAGCTAATTTGTAGAATATATTACATCATAAACAACCATAACTGACAGCACAAAACTTCAGTGTAAGTTATTTTGGTTTTGCATTTAGGGCACTATATAACAAAATCCTGAGGAAAACACATTTTGTCTACTTTGACATCAATAAAGAAAGTGAGATATTATTCCATCACGTCTTGTTTTGACTGAATTAGCAACATCCTGAAAGCACAGGTTAAATGTATCTTGACTATTTTGAAGACGTGCCGATTATAGTGTTTTTTTTCTTCTTCTTTGAATAGAGAAGGTCTAAATATTTTCACACGACTCTGAAAATTATCAGTCTCTAGTTTAACTTCAAAACTGTTTGGTTCATATTCCCCTGCAGGCAAACACACTCAAACCACACAGCGGTGACCGTACATAAACTCATTTATTGATTTACAAAATAACATTCAGCAAACAAATAATACACATTTACTCAAACAGAATCATAGATCGAATAGCCGTTCGATTTCCAGTCTAGTACACAGGCTGACATAGATTCAACACGTCTGGTTTTAGGCAGGGATGTCCAGGTTTTCTTCTCCTCTGGGGAAACCCTCCACCTCCATCGTCATCAAAAATTCTGCTCATACACAAAAGAAGCAAAATCTTTTTGAGTATTGGGTTCATTGCGACCAAGCAATGAACCCAATATTACAGTTCTTATACTGTAATAAGAACTTTACTAATAATGACTTTACTGCCATCTAGTGGCAGAATAAAAACCACCACGATGATGAGCAATAATAACTATGATGAGCAGCTATGACGCACTAAAAGATAAGATTTTATCAGTTTGTTTTTTTTAATTAACATTGTTTCAACATCAAAGTAAGACCAGCTCTTATGAAATACATGTAATAGAGGGGGAAAAAACTGCAATTAATAAGAAGGTATTTCCAAACAGATTTTATCCTGGATGTCATCCAGGCTCACCTTCTGTGTAGTCGATGTCTGGGCGCGTGGACACAACAGCCCATGCGACACCCACCAACAGCGCCACCACCAGGTTGACCACGATCCACGGCCGCAATATCTGCTGCTCGGAACCTGGAGGCCTGAAGGTGAAAAAATTCGACAAGTGTTTGGGTGTTAGCTAGCCCCATAAAAATCAATCGTATGGATTGCCAGGACCCTCAACTATTGAGACTTTGTTAAAGTTTGATCTGGTTTCAGCCAATCACTAATGCTTGCACCATCTCAAACAGTGCTATGAAGCTAGGGAGTTCTGTAAAAAGAAAAACATCCATTGTGTCACAACATCTTTGCCAGCAGTACAATGTATTAAACATTCCTCTTGCTCCAACTTGAATTGCACAGTATTAGGAAGTGTGGCCAACACAGACTGAACGGCTTCATTCACTTCCTCCACCGCCATTCTTAAACTACAACCACAGGAGCTCTACAATTTGAAATTCTTCTGTTAGCTGATCGGCCCGGATGAAATCCGCTCTGAGAAATCTCGCTCAATGGGAGCAGAACTGCATGAAAAGGAGATGGCCAGGCCAGGTTTTATTCAGCATTACCGAGAACCCTTTTTCAAAGACTACATGGGATTCCAATGGGTTTGGAAAAACTCACATTCTGAACCACACCCATTGGTCTCTTTAGTAGGAACACCTGTTCAATGTCTCGTCACAAAAAGCATTGAGTTGGTTTTAAATGCTTACAATAGTCTTGGTTTTTTTAGATGATTTTCGAAGCGCTGAAGTTGAATGAATAACAACGGATCTCACCACAGAGTTTCATTGGCCGAAGGATAAAGGTTGATGCGGTCGCTGGTCATCTGCTGGCTGAGGGACAGTATCAGGGCTATGAAATATACTGAATACACACAGAGATGGCATGAAAACATTGTCATCATCTCCATCGTCGTAATCATCATCAATGACATTAGTCGAGGTCTTACAGAAGGAAGCCACGGCCACCGGGTCCAGAGTGAGGAAGCCTCTCAAGGCCATCGATGTCTTGGCCAGGTTGACCCTATGATGATACGCCCAACTTCAGATGTTAATTTCATACAGAAACACAAATCTCGGAGGTGCTGTTTTTGCCCACAGAGACCTGTCGAATGCGGACACGGTGCTGATGGCCAACAGCAGGTAGAGCAGAGACTGAGCCGGGTAGGCCAGAGGGTGGTACTGCTGTAGCAGGTTGTGCAGCGTGGTCATCTGCTCGCCGGCCAACACGTACACCACGATGATGTTCCATACCGCATAGCCAGCCAGGAACCCATGAGAGAACAAACCGACCACCCTGCAAGTGGAAGACACACGACCGTATATATGCATTCAATTTATAGACCTAATGTTGCTTCATCAGCGGGTTGCCTGGATTGCTCGTTTCTGGTTTTTCATCGGTAGCGGACACCTATTGGTCTCTTTTAAAGGATGACAGTGGTTTAAGCTATTGTCACAAAAATATTCTTCAATGCATTAGTCAGTGGACATGTATTCCAGAGAGGTTCAGGTTCCCTTTTCTACCCCTAAAGCCCACTGTCGCTTTGTCGTAACAACTTAGCAAACAGCTTGGGATATTTAAAGTGAAAAGGAGTTGATATCATGCTACATGCTTGTTTTGCTTGAGCGCTCACATGTCTCAACAAACCTGAAGCTGTTGTGAACCTTCAGAGAGACGTCCCTGGTGGTCCAGATCTGCCTGGGGTCCATGTAGTCCTCAGTCAGCTCCGAGTGCCTGAGCTGCTCCACTCGGTCGGCCTGGAAACGCCCTGCGCACACACAGGTCCCCCTCACACACAAAGACCAACATGTTCTGGAGACACCTGTAGAAACTTCCCTGGAAACATTATTGTGCCAAAGTTTTGGGTCAACCCTAAATTCAATTCAAATTCAAAAAACATTTTATTGATCCCAAGGGAAAACTAAATGTTGTTGTAACTCATGTTAATTCATATTCTTCTGTTACTGTAGATCGGGAAAGAGCTCAATTCATGTAAACCAATGGTTTGAAACAAGAAAAAAGTTTGACTTTTTCAATAGAAAATTGAAAGAGGAACTCAACACCTTTCACTTATCAGATTCCCACTCACGGTTCCTCTCCACAAAAACTTTGCCGACCGGCTGGCTGTGTCCGTGGGGGGCGGAGAACAGGGAATGCTGCGGAATGGGAGACTGAGCGTCGGTGATGATGTCTTCGTCCTCGACTTCCAGATCATTGCTGTAGTGCTCCGTCGCCTTCGCCTTCCTGTCATGGGAGAAAGCAAAGAAGAGTTTGAAAGAAGAAGTGACCAGAAACCGGCAAACCATAAATAACGACGGATTAAGACAGAAAACAAAAGAGGAGTAGATTTCCACCAAAATACTCAGAAATGTTGCGATCAATTTTGAAATTTCTTAGAAAGAACTTGGAAATTTCCAAAAAGTTGATCATTTACCAAAAAAAAAAAAAAAGAAAACCCCTCATATATTATGATTAATCTCAGAAATTTTCCAGAAAAACACTGGGAAACTTCTTATTTACACTTTTCGACTTAGGAAATTTCTGTTTCAAAAGTCAAAACTTTTTTAGAGAAAGTTTACAAATTTCTTATTTTGAAAAATCAAACATTTATGACTGTCGAAACTGACAGATAATTTCTGAAATTATTCTAAAAATTGATGATCTCTTGGGGGCAATATTTACTTCTGTTTCTCAATCTGTAACGCCCCTAATGTACACCATGGTAACATGTTGAAAACTCTTTGAACATATTACTGGAATCAGATTTCACATTAAAGTGAACATTTTTAAAAACTATTAATGAACAATAACCGAAGATGAAGCAATATTTCCACAAAAACAAACAACTGTCTCTGTGATTTGCATTTTTGAAATGGCTCTGGGTAAAAGTCAGCTCATAAAAGTCATGACTTCTAGTCAATGCATTTCTTGCTCAGTTAATCCTTACTCTATTTGTAATTGAAGCTGCTAAGTTGCTCTCACTTCCTCCTTTTCTCGTTGTTTGTTTTTAACCAGTAACTCTTGAACTTCCTCTGCTTGACGTCAGATCAGTCCGATGTTTTAAATCCTGCTGCAGGTACTGGTACTTACTTCTTCCTTTTTGTCTTTCTGGTGACGGCAACAGTCATCTCCTCTCCTTCCCCGACCGCCTCGGCCGTGCTGCCGTTTGGCACATCCCCGTGTTCTGTTTCCTGATCTGTCCGAGCGACACACGGTCAGACACACTCTGTGACAGGCACTCTGCTCAGATCATTGCGTTTTTGGGAAGGGCCCCGGCGCTGTCAATCACCTTTTGTGCCTCTGCCCCCTTTCTCTCGGCTATTCTACAGCCAGTTCTTTCATGAACTCTAAGGCGAGTTAGCATAGCCGCAAATGACAGCGGATATGTGGTTTTCCTGGAATGGTGATTTGCTTCTCCGCTATAAGCACATTTAGCATCATGTGTACAAGAATGATTGACAGCGCTAAGGCCTGCCTCTTAGCTCTGACTGGTTGTTTTTGATGCATTTTTCATGTGGCAGTAGTAAAAATGATGGATTTTTTCAAAGAAAAACAATAATAGTTGTTGTAAGTCAGATACTGCAGCTTTAAAGATAGATTTGACTCAACCCTTTTCAGCGTCAATGCTCGTACCAATAGTTGACGCCTTTTTCTTCTTCTTCTTCTTGTGCGGCGTTGCGTCGTGCAGATCCGGGGTCAGACGGTCTCTGCTGTCGGAGTGGCTCCTGTCCTCCGCCTCCACCTCCAGCCCCGCTGCGGCACGAAACACGGAATGAAGCGACAAAACAGCAGCAGGCGAGCGGGAGGAGCCGCCGCGAGGTGGCGCTCGCTCACCTTCGCCCTGCTCCTCCGCCTCAGTCACCTCCTTCCTCGCTTCTTCTTCTTGCTCTTCACCGTCGGCATGGCGACGTCTCCCGGTGACGACGCCGGAGCTCAAGGCTTCAGCGGGAAGGCCGCCGGAGGCGCGCGAGGACGGCGCCGCGAGGCCGCCACCTCTCCGGGACTGATTTAGGTCACGAGATGAACGTCTATGGGGATTTTGAAGGCGGCAGGCCGGGCGGGCGGTGCTGCATGTCAGAGGAAGCTGGATTAGCCAGAAGACAGGTGGCGGGGCGACGCTTTGGAAAACAGATCAAAAAGCACGAGGCACGCGCTTCCCACAAGGTGAATTTCATGTACCTCTCAGTTCATCTGCCAATGTCTTTAAACAGACAGTGTTATGTACTTTCCAGTCACTGACACAATCAATTAACCATGCTAACTTCAGTTGCTATGAAATTGCCTCAAATCAAATAAAACTCAAAACAAATTAGATTTTGTAATTTAATTTTTTGAAATTGGGCCTCTGTCTCTTTAAAAACAACAACAAACAAAAAAACTCCTGCTCTTTCTGAAACTCCGCCTCCAGGAAGTCATCACCTGTCCTCACAACGTCAGAAGGTTAAAGTGGTTAACATTAAAGGGTTAACCAGATCAACCCTTTAATGTTAAGCTCAGCAGATTTGCAGTTCCAACAGATGCTTGCTAATTGCTGCTGACTAGTCTGAAGGAGCTGAGTGGAGGGAAGAGAGCTCTGTGAGAAGGAAGCTTGGAAAGCTGAATGGTTGCCATGAAAATTAAAGGATTTCTCAAACACACATAAAAGAATCAAGGCAACACTGCAGGTTTTTGATGAGGGAATAACATTATCACATGATGGAAAGTAAAAAAAAAGTCATATTTTTTTAACACTGCCCCTTTAATGAAAGCAATTAGATTATGTTTCTCAATAAATTTTTGTAAAGTCAAGTCTCAAATCAAGTCTTTTGCCCCAATTTCAAGTCAAGTCTTAAATCTCTGTTGACTGATGAAATTCTAGCTCTTCAACACCGCATTACTGTCCAGTGATGGTATAGTTACTTTGAGAAAGTAACTCTAATCAGATTACTGATTACTCCTTGAAAAAATCATTTTGTTTACTGATTACTTGATTTGGAAAGTAACAAAGTTACATTAAAAGTAATGTTTTTAGTTACATTCAGCAGCTGCTAACAATAACAACGCTCTGCCACCTGTGAACATCACATTGATCTTTGCCTATACTTCATTGTAAGCTGTTTTATAATGATTACATCAATAATTTGTCTCCACTTATATGTTTGAACTGAAGGTGAGATTATTTAATGGTTACAACAGTACAAAAAAACAACAACTTTAGTGCATGTTTAGTGCACTCTTGTGCATGTTTTTGTGTGTTTCTATTGTCTGGAAAACTATAAATAGGATTTCAGACCATCCCCCCACCCCAGCCTCCAGATTCTGCTTTACGGCCCTGTGTTTGCTGCAGCACACAGAGCTCTTCCTGTGGCTCCACAACTCAGATGGCTGCACAGATTTGTGACATTTATCTTAATATGAATAATTATAATGGCATTTAGTTGCACAACTTTATAGACTCATTCATTTGTGGCTCTTTTCATGTTTATTACATTTAGTCTCAATGTTTGCAGTCTGTTGTAGCGCAAAGCGAAGCTCGACATCATTCAGGTAATATATTTACTTGACATTAACAAAGACACAGCGGGACGGATCATCCGGGAAACAATGGACGGGGAGAGTCTGACTATAGCTAACTGGATGTCGTTTACGACATCTGGGGTTTATGTCTCCTTATTTCCAAACCGCAACCCGCGACTCATTAAATCTGCAAGCGACTTTAGAAAAAAACAAGCCCAAAGCTGCTTATATTGAACAGACTTGGTGACCAAAACTCAAATTAGTTCTTGTTTTTCTAGCAACAAAATGCACATCTCTTTCTTCCCTCCATTGTCTATGTTTTTGTCGCTGCTGATAGTGTCGCATAGAAATGGCGGTCACTCCCCAAGATGCAGAGAGGAAATAAAATAAAATGACAAAGGAAAATAGAAACGCACAGCGATTTTGATAAGTAACTGTAGTCTGATTAGTGGGTTTGAAACAGCAACGCGTTAGATTACTCGTTACTGAAAAAAGTGGTCTGACGCATTACTAAATAATGCGGTACTGACATCACTGATGCTGTCAGGGTCCAGATCCTGTATCCTATGAGCATTAGTCAACACAAACAGCTGACAAAGATTTTAAAAAACATTTCTAAATAAGTATGTATTCGTCTTCAGAAAAGTGACAAAGTGTGACATTTACCCTAGAAGTAGTGTCTAAAAATGAAGTTCAAAAAATATGACTAAAAAGAGATTAACACTTACTTGTGTTAAATTTATGAAAGAATTAAACAAAGTGGGGTTTTGTTTAGTCTTGGAGACATATTTGTGTGGTTATAACAAAGCAGCAAACAAGAATTAGCCACTTTCATCGATGGCCACAAGCTAATCAATCTTGTTTTTTCCTCCACACTGCAAAAACAGAAAATCTTATCAAGTATTTTTATTCTAGTTTCCAGTGCAAATATCTTAGTACACTTGAAATAAGACAAAACTAACCTTAATGAAAATATTTGAAGTAACCAGGTGTGATGGTGTTTATGTCAGAACAAAGACTAAATTTGAAGCTGTGATCCTGACCTTTTTTTGTAGTTTTTTTTTCAAACACTCAAGACTTACAGTCTCATGGTTTACAACTCAAATCTTATTGAAAGTCTCTCTCCCATGTAGTCGGGGATAAAAGCAGTGTGTAAGCTACAGGCCATGGCTCTGACATGTGACTACTCGTTCCACTGGCAGGTTATTTTACTTATAATAGGGAAAATGTCTGGTTAAGCCCGGAAATAATCTGCCAGCAAAGCTTTTTCATCCATATTGAGGAATTACGTAACTAAACAAACTCGTATATCTTGCTGAGAACATAACTGTAGGTTATGCTACAGTCCATACCTGCATTTGCTCAAGCTAAACTTGAGCATCTGTTTTAATGACAAGGGCATTAAAAAACCCCAAAAAACTACAACTCTTGAACTGTTTTAGGGATTTGAAATTTAAGAACATTCTGATAAAATCTTGTAGTGGTATTGACCTTATAAAAACTATATATCGGTTCTTGTGTAAGCTCACCTGAAACGCTGAGTGTCTATAGAGATAAAATCCTGCGGTTGGTCCCTCTGTGTGTTTGATCTTATCAAGGTGAAGGAGAAAAACTCCTCTTCCTGCCCTTTGTCCTTTATCTCTCAGCTCTCTGGTTGGGTTTAATCGTAGAACGCCTAAACAAAAGGTGAGGAGTTAAACGACAGCTGAAAGGAGGCACAGGCTACAGGAGGTCTGCGGCTCCTTGAACTCCACTCAGGGTTTAGAGTGGATCATGTGCTGAGCCCTGGGAGATGCTGGAGGTTTTCTGATTGGCTCATCAGATGTGATGTCACCTGTAAAAGGAAACTATTTGTTATATCTCAATTGCTCTCCTTAAAATACAGTGTTGTGACAAAATTGTCCTTCTGTCAGTTTTCTCTTGCTTAAAAAAACTAACTAGAATAGAAGTAAATATGCGTTTTAAAAAAGTCTTTTAGATTGAATGTCACTCCGCTCTAGAAATATTTCACAAAATGCATCTAGGAAAATTCTGAAATACCATAAAGAGGCAGCAGAAACTCTATGTGAGTTTAACAAGGTCTGACTTGGCAGAAAGCAGGTCAGTAGAGTGAATCCTATTAGAACGACACACAGGCAAACACATGCTGCTCCTACAGTAAGTACTGCAATGTGCACATATGACAACAGTCGTGTGTTTTTTTCAGATTTACTTCCCTGTCAAGCAAAAGCGTCAACAATAGTAACGGTAAAATCTGACATTAGGCTCATCCCCTCTCATTATCAGATCAAATATCCACTCAGACGCCTTCCTCTCCTCCCCCCATCTCACTTCCTGTCCTCTGTTATGCCGCTCTAGGCTGACCGTCACCCGGGTGTGTTTAGATGGATGACGGTCGGTCCTGCATGATACAGTGAGCAGACACTAATCCTCCGGTTAAATCGCCTGAGCATCATCTGTCCAGCAGGGGATTAACCTGAGAAGCACACGGGGGTCAACTCACAAAGCCTGAACCAAACGCAGGGTCCCATAGCCACAGAGACGGGCTCCTTCAGTCAGTTCTGGGAATCCAAACGTATGTATCTGAATCAGGGCCTGTATTATCTACTTTCCAGCCCCATAGTGCCATTTCGTAACACAATCAAGTAACTATGTTACCGTCACTTGTTTGAAAAAATGCTGTGTATGTCAAACATGACCTCGAAGGGAGAAAATGTGCAGAGAGCTCGCGAGAGAAAGGCGTCGTCTCAAAGGAGAACCGTGGCGACGTGGTTTGAGATGATGGAAAGGCAAATCTCTGAGCAGACTGGTGGAAGCTGAGTCTTTGATAGAGCCTGTAAACACCAAAATTAGACGACAACAACAACAGAAGAACATGAGTCCTGCTGGTGTCAGAAGAGGCCTGCCTGAGTTCAGCTTAAAGTGGGTTTTCTCCATCATTTTCTGAAGAATCTCTGTGGCAGAATATCTTGGCTCCTCTGCCTGCAGTTGAGGCCTTTGGCCTCTAGGTGTCAGTGTGGCCTTTCATCTCATTCCTGATGTTTTCACGCTCACTTTACAGATTCTTTACACGCAATAGGCGTCAGCAGTGGCTCACGACAGGTCGCCCTCTGCCCACCTGCGACACTGACCAGGAAGATGCTGCTATGGCAACCGCTGCTCTGCGTTCCGCCATGTTGTTTTCTTCTTACAGGTGTCGTGAAATGACCTGATTCTCTCCATTAACGCCTTCTGATTGCAGTGTGAACAATGATTAGAAGCTGAAGCAATGACTGAAACATGGACGGAACGACGTTCCAATGAATTTAAATCAAATTCTAATTTATTATAATACACAAATTAGCATATAAACATATACATTTCTCTATTTATTCTATTTACCACCCATCATGAGGTTTGGGGATGGA